TGGAAGAATAACTTGCTATTGTTATCAGGAGTGACAAGTCAGTTACTATATCAGAGCTTCAACTCATTACTCATTAGATTTTCTAATTTAATTTAGGTTTCAAGATGTGTTTCAACTTGGTTAAGTCTTAACTTCACTTACACTTTAATCCAGATAAACAAAATATAATTTTCATTTTACAACCTTTAGTTATAATTTCTTTAGTGATTTACAGATTGTTATTAAACTTTTGATCTTTTAGTCAATAGAACTGAGCACAAGTTTTACTACTGCAATGTAGGAGCACAAATATAAAAACAGTTTTATTAAAGGTCAAATTGTCTTTTTAATTTAAGATTAATTATATACTTATATATCAATTTTATTATTGTTATTAATTACACTATAATTACAGATATTTTATCAAGGTATATACATATCACATTATGTGTAAATGTCACATTGCTGGCCTATTATTTTCATTCATAACACTACTGTATATAAAAATTTAATCTTATTAGGCTTTTTTTTTTTTATTTATGTATATTAGTTATAAATTACTCTTTAACAATATTTAATATTATTTTTTATTAATAAAAATTAACAAATATAAATTATTAATATAATTATATTATTAGGTATTTTCATTTAATTCTACTAATTCATTAATATTTTGAGTTTTGTAAGTATCAATTATTTTTAAATTCCATTTTAAAAATAACATCTTTTCTACTAATTCTGAATTTAGTCTATACTTTCTAATAAATATATATTGTCCTGCATCTGAAAATAATCATTTGCTTAAAACAGAAGTAACAGAAATTGCTAAGTATTTACTACTAATTTAGCAATATTCAGACATATTTTCATAGCATCAATTCATCAAATACAAAAATTTTCAGTTGGCTTAACATTTGGTATAGCTAAATAATTATTAATTTTATTTATACAAGTATTACTTGGAGAAATTTCTTGAGAACTAAATAGTGAATAAAATAATGTATTACTTTTTTATGTAAAATTTCTATGATAAGTTTGTTGAAATATATTATTAGAAAAATAATTTGAATTAGATAAAGAATTAATATTTAAATTTTAAATTAACTCAAATACCTTATTATATAAAATATTATACGCATTTTGTTAATCTTCTAATATCAAGTCTCTTAGTGATTTAAAATATGGATCTAACAATCTAGCCATAGTTCTTAATTTTGAAGAAATATTTCAATAATGTTTAAAAGCATTATATAATTTTTTCTTAATAATATTAATTATTCCTTTCATATTTTGTAGTTTTGAAATATTTAATTTTGATTTTTTTTTTTATTTGCTTTCAATATATTCAATTTCAATATTAGTTTTTTCTTCAATAGGATATAAATCATCATTATCTAATATATCTTCATAATTATTATAATCCTCTAAATTGGTATCAGATTCTTTAGATATTGATTTGAATTGTTCAATTAATACATTAATTATAGACTATATAAATCCTAATATAGGATACGTACTATTACTTAAAATTGTATTGCTTCTTCAAAAGAATTCAATAATTTAATTAATTTTTCCATAAATCGATACTTTTTCTCAGTAAGCATAATTTTATTGAGCTGATTAAAATCCTTTTTGATATTTTGTTTCTTAGGTTACAAAATATAAGTTGGTAAAATTATTATGACATCTTTTAAGTTTAAAAGCCAATTTCAAGTATAAAAAGTAGAATTTCATCTAGTCTCTATATCAGCTATAACTTAATAAATTATAGAAAATTTCAATAATTTTTGTATAGTTATTAAATGTTCCATTTGTTTAATTGAAAAAAAAAATCAATCAATCGTTTAGTCTATGCTATAAATATTTCTATAGATACTAATCCTTTGTTAATTATTAATTATAATGTATGAGCTATATATCTTAATCATTGAATTGGTGCCAAATGCTTGATTCCTGCTACCATATTTGTACCATTATCAGTTGTAATAGATATAATTTTATTATTTAAATTTCATTTAGAAATACTGTTATAAGTTCATTATATATTGTTTTAGAAATATGAGAAAAAGAATATATTTAATATCTAAAACTACTTCTTTTATTTCAAATATCAGAGTTAGTTAAGAACAAGTTATGTTAAAATATTTTTCCTTGTTTCTAGAAGTCCACATATTGTTGTCAATATGCAAAACTCAAGTTGTGTTTTACTTGAATTTATTAATGCCTCCATTATATATATGTTTGATTGATATTTATGTAAAATTAAACTTTTTAGAGTTGCTGAATAAGGAATCTTGAATTGTGAAATTGATTCATTTAAAAATTGTCAAAAATATGGATTTTGTATGATAAATAATAGAATCCATTTCAACATTAATTGTGAAAGATAAACTTGTTTATTTTCCTTATATAAAATAATATTTTCATTATATTGTGTTTTAATTTGTTTCTATAAAATTTATTAATATTAGTATCTTTATTATATAAATAAATTATAAAATAAATTATTAATAAACCATTTGTGTATCCAAAATAGAATGAATATTTTTAAGATGTTTAATTAAATCAGTTGTTGTATCATGTGCTATAGATAAATTATTTTTACATTTTCTACCATCTAACATTTTTAATTTACAATATGCTTGTAATTCAGTTTTACCATCTTTTGTAACTTTTTTCTTTTCATAATATTTCCACATATAACTTCTATCATTTTCATAAATTCTTTTTTGATTATTAAATGATCCAACTGATAAATCTGAATTTTCGAATATAAAAGAGGAGGTTTCATTAATATTATTAAAAGAAAGATCAATTACTGAGTTACTTGTAAAACTTAAAGAATTGTTTTGATTATTTATTTTTAATTTTATAAAAAAAAATAAGTGAAATGAATGAAGCAAATAAAATTACAAAGCAAATATAACAAATATCTATTATTGAATATAAATGTATTATTACATTGTAATTGTTAATAATGTACTGTACGTACGTACATATGAATAATGAATCATGTGATAAATATTTATATACAGTATTTTAATATATATTCGAATAATTTGAATATTTACCCCTGAATATTCGAATAATAATTTCTTAATAAATATAATCACTATCCTATTCTATGGCGAGATATTGATTTTTTCATAAATTGTCAAGGAAACACATATAATAACAATTCATCTGGAGATCATTATTGGCGATTATTGAAGTCTAAAAGAGTTATGTGAGGAAAGATAAAGCCACTCTATTGTTCAAAGATGGTATATCTTAGTTTGGAAGGTTTAAAAATCTCGGATGCTTTGATCAGTGCAGTTCTGCATTCATGCCCAGACATACGCTTTCTTATTCTTAATCGAAGTTATGGTTTTACTAAAATACCAATTATAGAAATTGCAAAATTTTGTCCGAAATTAATACACTTAAGCCTTAATTCATGCAAATGTCTCACTGATCGATGTATCACTGAAATTGCTCGCTCATGCCCAAAACTTAGACATCTTGAGCTTGGCAACTGTTCGATTAGTAATAAAGCTGTCGAAGAAATAGCCCGCAACTGTACTAATTTGAAATATCTTAATTTGGAAGGATGTAAAGGAATTAACAAAGAAGTGATAAAGAAACTCAATTCAAAAATTAAAATTAAACATCCAGATTATTCTGATGAATTCTCAGATTCTGATCTACCCCCACTTATTTCAGATTATTCCGATGAAGATTTCTCTGTTTCTGATTTACCTTCACTTATTTCAACTCCTACATTCAGGGATTATATCAGAGAAGCATCAGGTCCAACTAACTTAGAACGAATTAATTTATTAAATAGTCTTGTTCAAGCCATTGATCAGACGTGTGAATCAACTCGTGATTAAGACATACTATGATTTTGATAAAGCACTCGAGGATAGATACGATCATTACAAAAAAAGCAATCCAAAACGTACTGCCCAGGCGTTAGTCAATAAAGAAGTTAGGCAACAACTCTCCAACTTGGTTAGTGAGACCTTACTACAAAAGAGAAAATAAAGAGCTTAGAAAATTTATAATTTATTTAGTGAAATTGGCGAGGGTATGATCCAACGGATTAAATCTTTTACAGCGTTGTCAATTTCAAAAATGAGTCAGGATGATATTGATTAGTTCATTTTTCTTAGCATCAAAATACAAGCAAACGTCAAAAGCCATAATTTATGGATTACTGCGCCACAGTCACGTGGTGTTGTGACCTCGCGTAAAACACAATCAATAAAGCTTTTATCGGCCCTGACCTGACACGTGTGTCCAACCTCGACAATATAACAGATAAAGTAAACCTGATAACCTGACAAAACCACGGTATGCCTCTTGATTTAGACAAAACAGTTTGAAAATTGGGAAAATGATTTGGACCCCGAAGATTTCTCCCTTCTCTCCCTCCTGAAATTCCGTAAGAAAAAAAGATGATTTCTCGTTTAATATAGTGGTCGAGCATATTCTTGTATCAAAGTTCGTTTCATACGTTGCAGAAAATGCAGATGAAAATTGGAGGAAGGTGGCCTCCATCCTTAACAAAGATGGTGAGCTAAAGGTGAGTCTAGTTAGGTTCATTATTGACACACAAAGTGGCGAAGGAATAGAAAAGAAGTTGGACGCTGTCAAAACAACCGCCTAAGTAACCTTACAACACGTTAGGTTAACTATGGAGACTAGTTATAAAACTTCCTCCGGTGGGCTTCTTTTTAAATCTGTGTGAAGGCCAAGGACAACTCGTCTCAGTGCTAAGAACAACTCGTTCATTCGCAGTTCCCAAATGTTTCACCTTGAATGTATTGAAATAAGTTAGCAGACTGTAATTCAATTCTACTTTTTTAAGTCCCAGGCTCAATGGGAATCCACTAAGTATTTCCGGTGCGACGTCGAGCTTGAGAAAATCGAGAAAGAAAATCAGTTAATAGAAAAAAAAAATGGATCAAACTGAGGTATTTGTCAGTTTAACTTGAATATTGATGCATATGAACTGTACTGTTTCTTACTGTTTGCTGATGCAATTTGGGTTGGATCAATCCTTAGCCGGAAATAAGGCTCAAGTTATATTAAACAAGATAAAGTTGGGTATTTTATCGGATAGGAAGAATTCCAAGAGGAAAGCTACCCATACAGACAAGGACGATACAGATGCATTAACATCACCCACAGAAAAGGTAATGACCGCTCTTCAAAGGTATTCTATTAGTTTTTCTCAATAGTTTATATTTTTACATTAAATTTTTGCATTTTTGTAGGATGAGATTGATACTTTTTTTTCAAAGCTCTACAAATGCGATTATGAAACGTCCGAAATTGGATGAAAAGAACGTTCTCAACGAGGAAGGGGTATGTTATTCACATTGTTTAACTATCGACATTAATAGCTTCAAATTCAGGGATTTGTATAAGATTGTATTTATTTATCTAATACTTTTTTATGAACAGCCTATTAGTTATTCACAAAAATTATTAAATGAAGGGACCGAATTGGAAACATATAAAAAGGTAAAAGGTTCTAGGTAAATCTACAGGAATAGGCAAAGCTACAGGAATGTAAAAGCTTATGTATTTTTCTATATTTAGGCGAAAAAAGCTACGAGAGTTGATTCAAAAACAAATACTCAGAAATCAAAAAATGCTTTAGAAACAAGTACTCGGAATAATAATGAAAAGTCTTCCCAGTAGTCTTCCTCTTCTGATCTAGGACCCGAGGGCGACGAAGAAATAAAGTTTGATTTTGCAAGCATTGAAAAAGAATTTTTACGGGAACAATTAATTGAGGTACATATCAAGATTCTGGCGCTTTTATTCTGCATATCTCAACAGTTTACATCCGTTTCTAGTGGGAAGTCGATATCATAAATGTATCGCAAAGGTTTAAAAAATATCAAATAGAGATAGATACTCGAGAAAGCGAAGACTGATGGATTAAGATGGTGTGATTTCCATGAAGTATTGTAAGTATTTTTGGTCATGTAATGATTATATTGGATAATGTGTCAATGCTAACGGTTTCTATTATGCTTGATAGGGCATTGTCTTCCATAATTGTATTAAATTCGCCTTGATCATATTTTCACCAATCGGGAATGGCGGGCGATTACATGTGTGAATCCCTATGTTATAACTGAACCGGTACTGCCATCGGATGTATGATTTTCTTTACGGAATTCTTTGGCCGAATTCATGGAAGGCAAGACCCCCTTTTTTTATCCTTGGGAGATTCCGAAATCGGGCGGGTGGTTTCACGAATATTTAACGACATGTAAGTTTTTATCCCATAACATATATCTAAAACTGAGATCAGATCTGCCTTAACTTTTTGTTTCATCTATAACAGATGTAGCAGTGTTCCTAAAGTTTCTCCAACAAAAACTTCAGAGGACGAACACTGTTTTAGGTTGCTACATCCAATAATCCGCCCATTGTTCTTCACTGATTCATGCGAAGAATACGTTATTCGATTGAATCGTGCTACTAGCGGTACGGCGACAAGGTCTGATTTTTCGTGCCTGGTTAACGATATTCCTATCCTGAATTCGGAAATAAAGCCACCCGGATTTACACCTCTCCAAGGACAAAAGGACAAGTTGAAGGTACAATTGAGAGCGCGAAAGTCAATCAATCAATTATTAAGAACGAGAGGTGGACCAGACGAAACGGTTTTGCTAACAAATCAAGGTATGTTTACTTGTAATCTGTAAAGCTTGATTCAACTTCAATTAAATACATTAACAATTTCTTCAGGAGATTTGGTAGAATCACATATAATGGATCTAAAATACGATGGACTTTATCGTTCTTGGCCGTTTTTAATTACACGATTAGTCAAGGATAAAACGACCATTCCTTTAATGGAGTCGAATATCTGCCATATAAAAGCATCAGAGGTACATATATACTACATAGTTCATTTTCAAGTTTGCAATGAAACAGCCAACGACATATTTTGTTTATATTCTGATTGGTAGGAACGCATCAGCAAAATTGCTGAGAATTACAATTCCCGAGGTTGCCAAAATGAAACAATTCCACTACAAATACGATATATGAGAGACTTACCAAATAGTCCGCAAATAAAAAAGATACTTAATGGTTGATTGACAAACTTCGAGTGTGGTTAGGCTAAGTAATCTTTATGCATGATCACTATGTAATAATTATAAATAGTAAAACATTTTACACCGCTTTTACTTTAAATAATCGTTGTAGTGCATATGTGACATAATCCAGTCTCTTAGTTTACGCATGCATCACGAAAAATGATCCCAATATCTGTTATAACCTATATGCATGTATTATATAACAAAAAATTTAGTCCATTATGAAAAATAATGCAAGTGTAACGACTATGGAGCATTTAAAGTTTTAAGTTTATTCAATTAGACCCAATTCTTGATGTTTTGGAATAACGGTATACGGGTCTTCGTAATACCAAACATACCTTAAAACGATCCAATTTTCTTCGCATAATTCTTTCTCAAGTTGATCTCGTGCTTGCTGTTTGATGAAATTATCGGGATCTCCTCTATGAAAGAATTTAATATATTTTTCGTGTTGTTCTCCTTGTACTTCAATCGCAAAACCGTATTCCGGGTAATAAATATCAAGTTCTAATCCTCTTGAATGCTCTGATGTTTTAA